TCTAATTTAAGTACATCAAAAAAAAATTTTTATTGTCGTCTTTTATTTTCTTAATATCTGTTTCTCTTGATTCATCAACACCAAAAACTAATATATTTTTTTCTCTTTTTATTTCAACGGAGACACAACGTTATAGGAATAATCGTTTCTTGGTCGTTTATTCCTGGTTTATTTGTAGTAAAAACTACTATATAAAGCTTTAGAAGTTAGGTTACTTGATTTTTCAAAAGCTTCAATTCGTTTATCTTGTAGTTCTTTATAAGCTAAAAACACTTTTTTGTTTAAAAATTTTTGTTTAAAACTTTTTTTAATTTTAAACTTTAAAAAACTTTCAATGAGCTTCAAAAACACGTCCGTTCTCTTCCGCAATCAGACGCAAATAAAAAAAAATTAATAAAAGGAAAAAAAAAAGGAAAAAAAAAAAAACAAGATCAAATAAAAAAATATAAATTGATAAAATGACTGAAACAATATGAAAGCAAGATCAAAATAAGTATAAATAGGTAAAATGACTGACTATTTAAATAGGTAAAATAACTGACTATTGGTATTTAGGAAATATTCTTAGTATTTCAGAAGAGCATCAAGATCTTCACATTAAATTTATGAAAAATTCTTCTTTATGTAACAAATTTATGTGGCCATGCAGAGTTGATTTCTGTTGAGTACCCATGATGCATATTTTACGCAAAGTACAATGTCTTAAGGTCCAGTCTAATAGAGGAAGATTTTATAATATTGACTTAAAAGAAATTAAATGAGATCATTTTATTATTTAAGAAATATAATTTTTTGTGAATTTTTTAAATTTTGTTTATTATTTAAAAAAATTTTTATTATCTAAATAGCTAAAAAAAAATTCAACTGAAATTTGAAGTTATAAAAAATATAATATTGATATTTTTAAATTATTATTTTATAACAAATAACTTCAGATTTTTTATTGAAAATTCACCTGGCTTTTAGAGACTATCTTTTGGGATTATAAATAATTGCCCATTAATTTTTATTTGATTTTTATTAATTAACACTTTTTAATTGATGCGTATAAGAAATTTTATGGAAAAACAGTGCCATCTCGAAGATCAATTTTAAGAAAATCTTGATTAACTCATTTTGATGACCTATAACTCTTAAATGCAGCTCTTTAATCAACTGATTTTTTTTATATATATTTATCTACCACGTGTAGATCAACAGGCAATTTGATTTGTATTAATTTATCTACCACGTGTAGATCAACAGGTAATTTGATTTGTATTAATTTATCTACCACGTGTAGATCAACAGGTAATTTGATTTGTATTAATTTATCTACCACGTGTAGATCAACAGGTAATTTGATTTGTATTAATTTATCTACCACGTGTATATCAACAGGTAATTTGATTTGTATTAATTTATCTACCACGTGTAGATCAATAGGTAATTTGATTTGTATTAATTTATCTACCACGTGTAGATCAACAGGTAATTTGATTTGTATTAATTTATCTACCACGTGTAGATCAACAGGTAATTTGATTTGTATTAATTTATCTACCACGTGTAGATCAACAGGTAATTTGATTTGTATTAATTTATCTACCACGTGTAGATCAACAGGTAATTTGATTTGTATTAATTTATCTACCACGTGTAGATCAATAGGTAATTTGATTTGTATTAATTTATCTACCACGTGTAGATCAACAGGTAATTTGATTTGTATTAATTTATCTACCACGTGTAGATCAACAGGTAATTTGATTTGTATTAATTTATCTACCACGTGTAGATCAACAGGTAATTTGATTTGTATTAATTTATCTACCACGTGTAGATCAACAGGTAATTTGATTTGTATTAATTTATCTACCACGTGTAGATCAACAGGTAATTTGATTTGTATTAATTTATCTACCACGTGTAGATCAACAGGTAATTTGATTTGTATTAATTTATCTACCACGTGTAGATCAACAGGTAATTTGATTTGTATTAATTTATCTACCACGTGTAGATCAATAGGTAATTTGATTTGTATTAATTTATCTACCACGTGTAGATCAACAGGTAATTTGATTTGTATTAATTTATCTACCACGTGTAGATCAACAGGTAATTTGATTTGTATTAATTTTCGAACATATTTTTAAGATTAAACTCTTTAAAATCACAAAAAGTTTCAATCTTAAAACAAAAATATCAACTTTAGGCCGCCATTACGGAAAAAGTTAAGAAGCCAGAATTTAAATTTTCTGTTCTTTTAAAAGTATTCATAGCATACTTGCTATCTTGAAATAGTTGAAGTATAAAACCAACTTGTTCAAAAGTTATAAGCTGTTAAAAATGATGAAAAAAACGTTTTTACTTGTAGAGTGAAATTTTATGCAAAATATCCCACTATTTTTTTTTTTTTTTTACTTACATTTATTTTGCTATTAAATAAATACAATCAGGGGCGGAATAAGCATTTTTTGGCCTTTGAGATTTAAAAATTATGACTATATAAAATTTGCAACCCCTCAAATTGTGGGGGGTTAAAACTTTATATGGTCATAATTTTTGAACGCTAAATTATTTTACTATAAAATTTAAAATTTATCGATGAATATAAGTCTAGTTGAAAATAGTATAAAAATTATTTCATCAATTTGTTGCTCTTATGTTTGGGGCAAGGGGGCGCAAGTTTTGGGGCTTTTTGGTTCCCAACCTCCAAACATCGCAATTTTTTGCAAAGCATCTTTATTTGACATAAGTATAAACATATAAAAGTTTGGAGTTTGCTCCATGTCTGGAAGTTAGCTATCTCTAAGTTCAAAAAATGCTGGATCCGCCCCTGAATACAATTAACTTATATATACAAAAAAATATATACATATCCATAGTAAAATTGTACATCTTGTCACCAGACACCGTTTTGTATATAAAATATAAAATTAAATGGAGTTTTTAATGATCTTTATTAGATGAAGAATTAAACAGACAGGGCTTAATGAAGATAAGGATGATGAAATATCGTCGCAATCATTTCATAGAGCCCCTTAAAAAGTTTTAATAAAATATAGTCATTTTTATTTTAAACTAAAATCGAAAAATTAAGAAACTATAAAAGTATAATAATATTCTTTACTGCACTAAAAATTAAAACAAACAGAGACAAAAATAAAAAATAAAAAAAAAAGAAAAAAAGGAAAAAAAAAAGACTGAAAAAATGATTAAGAGACTTCCGAGTAAATATATGAACAAATATAAAAGTATTATAAAAAATATTTTTTGTTAGATACTTAAATGAACTTAACGACTTAAACATACACTTGAGTCGTTTTTGATAGGTGTTCTATATTTTCAAAACATGCTTTTCTCGCATATATGTACAAAATCAAAAAGTTTTAATAAAATCTGAGATGGTCCATGAGGAACCTTTGCTCCACTTGGCATGGAATGACCCCAATTCTAATTTATATTATTGGAATAGCCGCAGTCGAGTGTTGTAGGCTATGCACTCAGTCGAGTGTTGAAGGCTGAGTGAGTAATGTAGGCTAAGCACTCTTTTAATCAATAAAAAAGATTTTCTAGATTTAAAAGAAAAAAAAGTGTTGCGTCACAAAACTGAATAGCCATAAACTCGCCAGTCTCCTCACCCTCCCCTGTAACAAATTGTCACAAAATTCCCCCCACCCCCTATCGCTAGACGCAGTATGTGGACGACCCTTGAAATGTTTATTATAGAAATATTTAGAATTGTTTATTAATAACAATTTTTATGCAATAAATTACATTTTAGTAATTTTGCTAATTTATTGTTAGTCTGATTGAAAAATTGATGAAAAATGTTGTCGCGCCTATTTGTTAAAATTGGGTTGGTCCAACTGCAAATTCTATGCAGTTATGCTAAATAACGCAAAACCTGGAAAGTGAAACTGAAAATCCGATGCTGTTGGATCAACTAACGTAAAATGCGGTTAGCCGGAAATCAATTCTTGTTTGTTATTTTAGGTGCCTCAAGAAGACCTAACAGTTTTATCATAGAGCACCGCGGTAGTGCATTTAACCAGGAAGTTCGCGCCTCCTTCCTTACCGTGACGCAAAATAAAATCAATCCAATGCAGTTGTATTAACTAAGGCAAAAGGAGTTTGGCCCAACTGCAAATCCAATGCAGTTATACCAACTAATGAAAATGTTGTCGACTCACCTACAAATCAAATGCAGTTTGGCCAACTAACGCAAAATGTCGTTAGCCTAGCTGCAAAACCAATGCAGTTGCACCAACTAAAGCAAAAAATGGTTAGCCCAACTGCAAATAAAATGTAGTTTGGCCTAATAAAGCAGTATAATGTTGGCCCAATGATACAGGCTGCTTGGGACCTCCCTAATGGTGAAAGTTTGTATAATGAAATGTGAACTTTTGTTTATAGCAAACCTTAAGCAACATGCTAAATAGGGAGCAACAACATCTCTAGTCATCTTTAGTACTACCTTTAGTAGTACTCAAAACTCACACCGCTTATGCAAAGAATAGCAAAACGGAAAAGCGAGGTGCCAGCAGTTCTGACTTTTATTGCAGACTATGCATTCCCCGCTAACTAGAGTTACTGTCACAACTCTAACCACTAGTTAGATAGTACCAAAGATCTGGAAAGAATAAAGGTGGTACTTTTTGCTTTCCCAGTACATAAATTACCCCATTTTGACAAATACAAATTGCCTAATTAGTTTCAGTTGTGGTATATTTGTGGTGCAACAAATAAGCTTTGTTTATTTAATTGTTGTTGCAATTTTGCGTATGGCAAAAAAAAACCTCAGTTCAACCACAATTTATTATTATTCAATAATAAACAAATTCAAAAATTATTCAATAATAAACAAAATGATTTGTTGTGTTGTAAAACATTTAGTTTGCTAACAATATATATCGTTGCCATGGGTTAATTGTTATCGGTGTGTTGTAAAACATTTTTTTGTTTCGTGCAAAACTTAAAAAATAATTTTATTTGCAGTAAACTTTAAAACAAAATTTTTACATTGTAAAATGTCTTTAACTAGTTATTAATGAAAACAAAATTTACAGATAAACACAGTCTTTTCCTTGAATAGTTGGTTTTGGTTTGTTCCAAAACCAATTGTAACCATTGTCATTTAAATATTTAAAAACTTCATCTTTAAAATTGGTTTCAAAAGTCTCTGGATTACGAGCTAGTACCCAAACTAAAGCTTTCAATGGCGTAGTGACAACAGAATATTCGTATAAACCATCATTACCAAAAGTGGTTGGACCAAGTTTTACAATCAAGTCTATAAATACATTTAAAACTTAGCAGAAATAGTCCATTTTTATTAAAAACTAACATAACGTTATACAACATTATGTTGTATAACTATTAAACGCGTTATAAAATAACTTATTGTTTTAATAAACAACATGTTATGTCAACTAACAACAGGCATCGCAGCGTCAGATTTTATTTGATGAGCCAGAAATTTTTTTCAATAAGATTTTTAAGTTTTACTTTTTATTTTAAGAACTTAAAAAAAGAAGAGGGAGCTTAGGTTTCGTTGCTCTATGCGCTGCAATTACCTTCTTAATGTGTTATAAACTTTATATATTTTGACTGATGTGAGGTTTTACTCATTTACTTAGTCTTTTGAAACTTACAGTTTGCCCCGGGCAGATTTGGTGTTCCAGGAAATGTCACTCGAAGTGCTCCTGGATGATTAGCATCTAGTACAGTTGCTGTTCCAGTAATGTTACTTCCCAAACCAGTAGGAGTTTTGAGACGACCAGCATTCACTACTTTTATATTACCATCAGCTTGAAGAGAATCTATAAAAAGAACCATTTACGAGAAATTAATTTCCAAAAACTGAATCATTTAGGAAAATTGTTATACTATTGTAATATTAATAAATTAAATTTATTTCATATTAGATAGTAAATTTATTTTATATTAGATAGTAAATTGATTTAACTTTATATTATTATAAATCTTAATTTTATATAGTTAATATATAGTATAGTTGTTATTCCATGATATTTTATTATCATTATAATAACATTTTATTAAAAATATTATTAAATAGATTATTATTAATATATAATTATTAAATTAAAATTATTACAATCAGCTGTTGTGCATACAAGGTTTCTCTGGAATGTTTGACGCTGAATTAAACTACTGTATGTCTATAATAAAAAAAAAAATTACAATACTATACGTGGTGAAAACAAGTTTTCTATACATATACAACCTATTTATTCTGAGTAGAATAAACAGGTTGTATATGTATAGAAAACTTGTAAAATTACAAAAGAAGTTATATAATAGCATTACAACCCACACCAGCAGCAATAGTAATTTATACAAAACCGTATATAATTAAAACTTATATAATTTAAACTAATTCTTTATCTATAAATATATATATATCGAATTTTAAAAACTTTGTCGAAAAGTAAACTGTTATTACTAAAATATATTACCTCGTACCATCTTCCTAAGTATTTGTTAAGTTCTAATGTTTCTACCGTTTTTATCGAAGATGAAACATGTATTTGACAAAAAAAAAACAACACGATGAGAAACTTCATTTTGCTTTTAAAACAATACTAAAAAAACTTGCGTTTAAGTAGTTTTGATTAAGTTATGTAATTAAAAAAAACATTTGAAAGTAAAACAAAGCTGAATAAATGATTACGTTTTTCCTAACTGACAATTCGATGACGTTAAACATTTTTAAAACACAACGATGTAAGGCCGTTTTATACAAATACATCTTTTCGTCTGTATTTACAAACCCTTACGGTAAACATTTTTATAAAAAATATATTTATTAAATTGATTTTGTTACCTTAACTGCCTAACTATTTTGAGGGAGGGGGAGACGTCGAAAAGTTGGCAACAACCGTAAAAGTTCATAGATTGGGGTGTTGTAACAGTTAGGGTGTTTAGTTTAATGGGAAATATGTTGTAAAATATTGAAAAAAAAAAAAAAAAAAAAGGGGGGGGGGGGGACCAACTTTGTGATTTTTACTTTTTTTATGTTTAAAAAGATTTAGCTCTTTCTCAATATCTATTGTTTTGTGACACGTTTTATTTTTATATTCGGGTTACTCTAGAGAATTGGAAAACAAAAGATAAGATATAAAAAAATTTTTTTAAAATATTTTACTTTATATAATTTATATAATTCATTTTATATAATTTACTCTAGAGAATCGGAATACATGTTGCTTTTGTTACTGGAATATGTTGTTATTGTATGTTTATTATGTTTACTGTAGTAAATCAAGTATATTTGTAACAAATTTGAAAAGATCTTTTAATGTTTTAAAAATAACTTTTTTAAAATTAAAGACGGATATAAGACGAAAATGATCGCGCGAAATGAATTTTTTTTGTCGATAAGCATGCGCAGATAAAACATTTCTGTCAAAATTAACAGAAATGTTTCATATATATATATATATATATATATATATATATATATATATATATATATATATATATATATATATATATATATATATATATATATATAGAGAGAGAGACAGAGAGAGAGAGAGAGAGAGAGAGAGAGAGAAAGAGAGAGAGAGAGAGAGAAAGAGAGAGAGAGAGAGATGTATTTACACTTATAGTATCACTTACGGGGATAGAATTTACAAAAAAACGAATACTTATAGAGATATTAGCATTAAGTAAGCATCGTCTTTTTTTTGTAAAAAAAATAAAAGTCCCCGTAAGTAATTTTTATAGAGAGCGAAAAGTACATACATTATGCATTTTATAAATTATAAAACTTTTTTGTGATTTTTAGGTCAATTCGGTTCCGGCTTAAATTACAATATTTCTGGCCGGAATGCCGGAATTTATTTTTTACTTTTTTTTTTAAATTTGTGACACAATTTAATCAAAAAATCATTGTTGTATAGGGCGATTAAGAACTATAGGTAAACCTAGGTAAAAAATAAATTTTTTTTAACAAACACAATTTAATTTTAGGTAAAGCTACAGTTAAGCGGTCTAAAATAGTTATATTTTTTTGCTTGTTGCGTTCTTGCCAGTGGAGGCTTTTTAAACATTAGGAATTTTAATTGAAATTATAAAAGAAAAAAGATTATTGCCCCATGCCAAACCCTTAGTCAATATAGCAGTACTTCTTTGAAGCAGCAAGCTATAAGATAGTCGATGTAACAACACTATCTTGTAGTAGTAGGCTATAAGATAGTCGATGTAGCAACACTTCCTTTTTACAGCAGGCAAAAAAGATAGTCGATATACATTGAGGCATATTCGTTTAGACGCATCAATTTTTTTCTCTTTATCTTAATTTTTTTCTATGAATTTTCAACTGATATGCATGCAAGTTATTATCAAAATAATTGTTGTGTTGTGGTCTAATAAAAATCATTAAAAAAATTTTCTATGTGTCTTTGTTAACATGAGAGTATGTTTGATAAACAAAAGCACATTTTTTCATCTATAGGAATATATCTATAGACGCAATCAGGTTAATAACGGTAATTATTGATTTTTAATCACTTATACACAAATAAATTGATAAATTTTAGTGTAATTTGATCTTTTGTTCTGTCAGTATCTTTTTTATTGCATTTTACATAATCCTTAAGGAAAGTATTTGACAGATGCTGAAAAATTACAAATTAATTTATATAGTGGCTCAGAAATCTCACCAGCACTTTCTATACGAGAAATAGCAAGAAAAATTGGAAGATCTGACCATGTTATACGAAACTACATAGCAAAAGGTGACAATTACACATGTTGCACATATTATACGTACAACACCAAACGTAAAGTGGAAGAAACCACACCAAAAATCAATGTTAAAAAAACATCATAAAATTGCTAGATTACAGTTTGCTAAAAACCATATCCATTGGGCTCATGAGTGGCATTTTCAGATGAAAAAAAGTTCAATTTAGATGGTCCGGACTCTTGCAGTTGTTATTGGCATGATCTAAGAGGAATAAATGACCCACAAACAAAACGAAATTATGGTGGAGGAAGTTTAATGGTTTGGGGTGGATTTTCTTATTTAGGAAAATTGACTCTGTGTTGTGGTTTACCTAAAATGAACTCAATAAAGTATACAGAAATGTTGGATGATGTTCTCATAACTTGTATGGATGAAAACATGGACGATAATACCATATTTCAGCAAGATAATGCTGCAATTCACTCATCTAGGCAGTCTATGAAATGGTTTAAAGACCACGACATCCCGGTTCTCGAATGGTCAGCGTGTAGCTCGGACTTAAATCCAATCGAGAACGTGTGGGGAATGCTAGCAAGAAAAGTTTATAACGCTAAAGCAGCCGGACACCAATTTAAAACTGTTACTGAGTTAAAGTGTAAAACCCTTGAAGCATGGTCCGAGTTGGATCAAACTCACTTCAACGACTAGTGGAGTCAATGAAAGACAGAATCTTTTAGGTGATCCAGTGTAATGGAGGACATACACATTACTAATTTCCATCTTTTAATGTCAAAAATATGACTGCGTCTATAGATATATTCCAATTAAAAAATGTAATTTTGTATATCAAACATACTCTCATGTTAACAAAGACACATAGAAAAAATTTTTTTGTGATTTTTATTAGCCCACAATACAACAATTATTTTGATAATAACTTGCATGCATATCAGTTGACAATTCATGGAAAAAAAATTATAATAAAGAGAAAAAAATTGATGCGTCTAAACGAATATGCCTCAGTGTATGTAATAAAGTAATAAAAATTCTTTGTTTATATTAAAAAGCCGTAATTTAAAATTTTCAATCCGGTACACCCCTAAAAATTAGCGTAAATTTATATGCAGTTATTAGCGGCTTTCATCTAATTAACACGCAATCAAATTTTTTGCGTTGTTAAAATATTATCATCACGCATGAATAAACCTGTGGTGAAAATTTTTATGCTAAAATAATGAAATTTAATTTTCCATGAAAAAAAATATGTTGGCTAAAAATCCGTTTTATTTTTGTTTAAAATAGAAACATTTAGTTTTAACTTTATTTAAAGATTTTTAACTATTTTTGTTCAATATGAGCATGTTAAAATTACCCAGCGTTTTTTATTCAACTTAACCTAGTCCTCAAATTGCAGTGGTTTTCATCGCTTTTTGAATATAAAACGTAGTTGAAATAAACTGTTGGGAATAAACTGTTCTAAAAAAGTTGAAATATTCAAATATTTAAACGTTGTTATTTGATAGGGAATTAAATTTTAAAAACACGCTATCGGTACAATTAAGGAAAAAAGATCCTTAATCGTACCATTATAATTCAATATTGTACATATATCTTGATTATACAAATACTATATTAATTTATAGTTCATTACAGACTATATTCAATTTATAGTTCATCATTTTGAATGATTTTTATAAAGATCTTTTTCTTTGCCAAGCAATGTAAAAAAGTTCCTAGAATAGTCTGAAAACATCTCAATAAGGTATAACTTTTATATTAAATGTGTAACTTACTTATGTGGTTTCTAGAATTTTGGTAAGAAAATGATGGATATTACTGCACATTATATTAATAATACAAAACAGAAAATCTTTATTCTTGACAAAAGTTACAAATATAACGTTTTTGTTTTTGATTAACACCTGCACAGTCATTATGGCACCAGCCTTGACATGTAAGGCATTGTATCATACTCTTTTTTATATTTTCTTCGCAGAGGTAGCAAAACCAGCTTTCATTTTGAAGAGGTTTATTTGCTTGCTCACACTCTTTCAAACATTGTCTGTCCTGCTTTATTTTTTTATTTGGTCGCAGTAAAGCTCTAAAGATAATTAGAAGATGCACTCTCCCAGAGAGTGCATCTTCTAATTATCTTCGCTTCCAACAAGGTTGCAAGCAACCAATAATTAGTGTTGGAAGTTACTGGAAGAGAAAAGATGAAGATTTTAGAGCAAGATAACGATTGACAGACGACTTAAAAGATTGCAAATTATATGAATCAGGAAAGCAAGATGAAGGAAGCGAATTCCAAAGAACTGATGTTCGAGGAAAAAAACTTGACGAATAAGAGTTTTTGGAGCACTTAGGAACAGTAACAGAAAAAGGATGAAACTTAATTGAATGACGAGTAACACGAGAATGAATTTTAGTAGATGGCACAAGAGACGCTAGCTCTTTAGAGCAGTGCCCATTAGAGTATTTTTAGAAAAGAGAAAGAGAAGCAACATTGCGACGATGTGGTTGTGACGAGGTTGAAGGTTGGCTGCAAGAGCAGGTCCAACTATGTTTACAATGCATTTTTGCACCTTGTCTAAAAAAGAAAGGGCATCATTAGAAGATCCACCCCAGATATGGCAACAATATTCCATACAAGGCCGGATTTGAGATTTATAGAGATAGAGAATAGAATCCAGAGTAAGAAAGTGACGAGCTCGATAAACAGAAGCAACTTTAGCAGATGCTAATTTTGCAACGGATTTGATATAAGGTTTCCAAGAAAGATCAGAAGTAAGAGTTAATCCTAGAAAATGAAGGGTAGGAGACTCATCGAGTACATTACCGTTCATAAATATAGGAAGGTCTAAATTATTGCGATAACGATTGGCCGAAAAAAATTGAGTTTTATCTGAATTAGAGTTCACCAGCCACTGCGAGCCCCATGCTGTAGCAGAAGTGAGATCCTTTTCAAGCTCAGATGCCCCCTGCAAGCAA